AACGACGCACTTTCTTTGGGGTGGTTCACCTATCAATAAATATACCATCCGTACTATTGGAGTGTTGCCTGCGTTTATTCCTTTTGAATACATACACACACACATACTGTATGTCTCTGTATGACGGTCTGTGTATGTACACAGGATGGCTAAAAGATAGATCCCCATCTGTCGTGCAACTTCAACAATGCTTTGAAAGCTGGGGCTCTACCGATTCCCCATGCTTGCAGGATTGTATTTAGCATGGAGCAGTATTTGTGTGTTTGACTGTAAGCATGTGTTTGTAAGGAGTATGTTTGTATGATTGTAGCGGTGTGTTTGTATGTAGTGTTTGCATTTGAATGCAAGCATGCATTTATGTGTAGTGTTGGTTTTTGAACGCAGGTGTGTATTTATATATAATTTTGGTGTCTGATACAGAGGTGTGTTTGTATGTAGTGTTGACATTTGAATGCAGGGGTGTGTTTGTATGTAGTGTTGACGTTTGCATGCAGGTGTTTATTTGTGTGTAGTGTTGTGTTTGAATGCTGAGATATATGCACATATACACATACACTGCCACACACGCACACACTGTGATACACATACACAAAGATACACACACACTGACACATGCAGATATACATATACACAAACTGATACACATTCAGATAGACACACAGGTACACACAAACACTGACAGACATACAGATAAACACACAGTGACATACAGACACACATACACAATGATAGGGAAGAAGACACACAAAGACACACTAACAGACACACACACACACACACACACAGACATTTAGATACACACAGACACATGGACAGAGACATATACATACACACACACACTGACAGACATGGATACACACACACACACACTGACAGACATAGATACACACACACTGACAGACATACACACACACTGACAGAGATAGATACACACACACACACACACTGACAGACATACACACACACACTGACAGACACAGATACACACACACACTGACAGACATAGATACAAAGACACACTGACAGACATACACACACACACGCGAGCAGACATGATACACACACACACACTTTGACAGACATACACACACACTGACAGACATACACACACACTGACAGACATAGATACACACGCACACTTTGTGTGACAGACATACACACACACACACTGACAGACATAGATACACACACACTGACAGAGATAGATACACACACACACACTGACAGACATACACACACACACTGGCAGACACAGATACACACACACACTGACAGACATAGATACACACAGACACACTGACAGACATACACACACACACACTGACAGACATACACACACACTGACAGACATAGATACACACACACACACTGACAGACATACACACACACACTGACAGACATACACACACACACTGACAGACATAGATACACACACACACTGACAGACATACACACAGACACGCTGACAGACATACACACACACACAGTGACAGACACAGATACACACACTGACAGACACAGATACACACACACTGACAGACATAGATACACACAGACACACTGACAGACATACACACACACACTGACAGACATACACACACACACACACTGACAGACATACACACACACACACTGGACAGACATAGATACACACACACTGACAGACATACACACACACACACACACACACTGACAGACATACACACACACTGACAGACAGATACACACACACACACTGACAGACATACACACACACACTGACAGACATAGATACACACACACACACTGACAGACATACACACAGACACGCTGACAGACATACACACACACACACTGACAGACACAGATACACACACACACTGACAGACATAGATACACACACACACACTGACAGACATACACACACACACACACACTGACCAACAGGTTCAGAAGGGGGGCTTACCTGGGATCCAAAGTGCTGCCTGAGGTAGTTGGGAGTTGGAGGAGCTGGTCCTGCCCAGCCCCCTCCTCTCTGCCTTTTGCTGCTGTAGTCTTCTTGGGAGGACTTCCTCCCATGCTGATTAGATGGGGGCCCGTAGCTCCGCCCCTGCTGGGCACCAGCCGCACTGTGTGCTACAGAGGGAGCAGGGATATGACGTTCATATCCCCGCCCCCTCCACACAGTCCGCGGCACTGCAGGTTGGCGCTCGGCCACGCTACAAGAAGTGACCGGCAGGAGAGGGGAGCTGTGCGCTTCTCTCCTGCCGGCCACCCGGACATTTGCGCCCCCGGGCCGGTGCGCCCTAAGGCGGCCGCCTGTGCCGCCTTATGGACGCGCCGGCCCTGTGTATTAAATACTATTAACATAGTGTGATTTGTGATAAAATCTCACAAAAACATACCAATATTTTGGCAATAATCTGGCCCCAAGTACTAATATGAAGATTCCAATGTAAAAATCACATAAAAGAAAAAAGAAAAGAAATAGGTGATATGGTTACCCTATCCATGTCTAAGACTGCCTGCTGCATATAGTTGCACTTCCTAGAGCAAGCTGGTGGCATTTAAAGCTCAGTTCGATTGATACAAATTTTGGATGATTAGTGCTTCATCTGATATCCCAAACTCAGAAATGCTACATGGACAAATCATAAAACAGACAGTTTACAAAACTGATTCATTTGATTTGTGATTTAGAGTTGTAGCCATAGAGCCAAAAAAAAAAAAGAGATGGGGAAAAAGATGATTGGGGACAGCAACTAAATGTTGTTCTTATTCAGAGATCATGTGAGAAGTGACCAATAGAGGGAAGAAAAGGAGGATAAACAATCTATATATTTTATTTTCCATCATTCATCTTTTTTTTGGCACCATAGACAGAATTACACACCGAATCGGCCTAAATTTCGATAAATTGCAGGTTGGACCAAAACAAATATCCACGTCTAAAAGATGTACCAATCAACAAAGTTGGATATAAAAAATAGGTATATATCTACAGGCCTATAGCTGTATGCCCTGTGAAAATACAAAATTCTTACTGCCCAGCTTTATGACGCCACTATTAACAGGCTTTTAGTGTCCAGCTACCATAGCTGCACTTGTAAAATTTTGATAATCTGAAACTGTATTCATGAAAAATGGTGAACATACTGGAACAATTGTATCTTCATAAGAACTGTTTACTCTATTGTTAGTAACATCTTAATAAGTATTGTACTATTCTTACCACAAGGATGGATGGACAGACAGACAGACAGAAATTACCCAGCAACTCAGCTAACACAACGTTAATTTCCAGTTACAAAAATATAGTTATTTGTATGATATACTATATATCACTTTTTACGTGCTTCACTTGACATCCATTATAGGTGCTGAATCCATTGGGAATTGTTTTTGCTTTTTTAATCAGACATGTCCATCACTGAACAGAATGGCCAGGTACAAAGCTCCTATTTTGCCATTTGTATAGTAAAGCATAAAAAATTTTTTTTTTAAATGTATGTAATGCAATTTTTGTAGACCAGTTATCTGAACAAATCAATTCATTCTACAGTAAAAAGGACAGCATGTGAAACATTTGTTCAGATCAGTGATAGATAAACTGTATTTAGGGTTCGGGAATTCTCATAACCTGAGAAAGCTTTTGACTACCTGTTGTAATTTGTAGTGTGATATCAAAATGGATCAGTGAAAATTTTGTTGGCTCCATGCTAGTAACAATAACAATTTACGCTGTCTTTTTTTGGGTCAAAAGTATTCTTTATCTGTAACAGAGGTATGAACAGAGAGAGCAGGAAAGAAATCTTTACCTGGGGTGGAAGGGGAAATTAAGTCTTACTCCATCTCACCAGATAGAAAATTGTGTCACAGAAGGTACAGACTTAGCTGTTACTGTAACCACATACACTTTTAATATTAAGATACTGGGAAAGTCACCGGCATAATTGAGAATGTAACCCTACAGGCTACTGATACCTTCAAAATCAATTTTCCTTCTGGAGTTGTGAACAGACGTAGTCACACTTAGCAAAGCAGTTGCACTGTGCAGAGTCCTGTTAGAGCAACACCATGTGTTGGCCTGAGTGAGCCAGAATGCTGACATTCTCCTTTTTTGTCAGGTTCACTCCTTTTCCAGACAGACTTATTGCTTTTCAAGTTGGGCACACACCTCTTAAATTTTACCACCTTTTTGGCCTGCAACTCTCCATCCTGATCTAATAACTCTCATCTTTGGGAAGTGTCATGTCTCCTGCACTACCTGGATTCTGATGCGTGCGTAGTGGCAAAGAGCGCAATATGGCAACAGCTCTGATGCAGACCACTCCTATTGGCACTCTATTTATGCTCAATGTCTTGTTATTTTTTTTATGACACTTACCTTATGCTTAGCCTTATTGTGGTCTGTGTTATGCAAGAATTCGGTTTTTTTTTTTTACGATTTGCTTATTGACTTGGCTTTAATCTCTGACCACTCTGACCTCTGGAATTCCTGAATTTGGAACTCTGTTCAACCCTTCCATAATTCTCTGTATTCCTTGATCTCATCCTGTCTATACTTTCATATGTTAAGTCCAGCCATTCTAAGGACTAATAATTTGTCTTCTCTGTAATACTCATAGCCCTAAGGTTTTTCTGTTGGAGTGTTTAGTATCAACCTCACCAAGACTACACTGCATAATTAGTTCATGTTTAAAGTTTAATATATGCTTTTATTTTTATATATATTATGTATATTATGTACTTATAAATTTGATATCTGCTTTTCATGTAGGTTTTTTTTATATACAATTTTGTTTGCATGACAGTCTTGTCTTACTAATCATGTAAATCATCTCATTATACGATTTTAATAAATTACTTTAAATAACTTTAATGTTGTAACCAGTGCAAATAATGTATTTGTTTATCACATATTTCTGAGTGTTAACCTGCAGGGTATATGCCATTTAGTTAAAATTTTCTGTTTATTTATATTTGTATTTTTAGAACATCCTTGGTATTCAGTGTGAACTGAAGAAGCAGCTTCGAAACTTCATTTCTTTAGATCAACTTCCAATGGCCCCTAAACAAAATGAAGGGAAATGTCACAGAAATACAAAATATCCCAGATTTGCCGCTATTCCATCTGTGTTTGGAAAAGGCATAAAGTTTGCTATTAAAGACGGAATCGTGACAGCTGACATAATTGGAGTTGCTAATGAAGACAGCCGTCGTATTGCTGCTATTCTTAACAATGCACATTA